TTTACCAGAGAAGTGCACAAAAAACGTCCACCCAGATAGCACAATGTTATTCATAGAATATTCTTCGAGAATATCTGAATATACTCAGAATATTCTCACAATATGATGGAAATATTCTAGGGAAGTTCTATGAACATTCGGAATGGACTGTTTCAAATATTCTGAGAATATTCCTAGTATATTGAAGGAGAATGAAGAAAATTAAAAGAAGCTTGCTCCAGAAACCTTACCACTTCGCCACGGACTTTATTTATAGATAAAATGAATATCAAGATAACAACGATGAATTAGTGGGATAATCAGCATCGAGGCTAGATAATATATATACTAGAGGTTGTGTCAGAGGTTGAACATTATGAATATTGATACAAGAATAGGAACATCAATATCATATACTTCGATACGATTCTAAATATCCTCAGAAAAATCAAAAATGTATGTAGCATGTATACCAAATTGATCATTAATGGGCAAACTGGTTTCCGTTACATCATTTCTGGTTTCACTGGAAACGACTTTTGATTGATATAAAAACTTCGAACGCAAATATCTTCGTGATCGTTAGAAATAATTACCATATTTCTACTCCATATCAACGATTTATTGAAAGCAACTTCATGTCCAGTACACAGCTTCGCTGATGATAGTACCCTCCATACCGCCTTCTCTTCCATACCAGCCAGGCAAATCAGAAACGAACGAGGAAGAAATGTTGACAACATAAATATCGACTTGACAACAATTCTCGAATGGGGCCCAATAACTTGGTAGATTTCAATGCAAACAAAACACAAGCATGCCTTTTCTCTAGAGAAGCCGATCTCACTGTGCCCAACATAAGCTTGTCAGGAACCATACCTTTGAAGACATCCATTTCGATGCTTGTTATAACTATCAGCAATAACCTTTCTTGGTAAAATCACGTGAGATCAATTGCTAAAAGTGCATCCCAAAAACTTGGTTTTCTGTTTCGGGCCAGGAGCTATTTCACTTCCAGTCAGCTGCTCATGATCTATAAGGCACTGATCCGACCTGTCCTGGAATACTGTTCCCATATTTGGAGTGCAGCACCCAAACATACCCTGAAACTGTTGGATTCTGTCCAAAAAAGGGCAATTCGTCTCGTGGGTGATGCCTCGCTTACAAACTAACTTCACACTCCTCTGGAGCATAGTAGATCTCGCTCTATTTTATGGATATTTTCATGGACGATGATCTTCTGAAATATCAACAATTGTTCCTCCCTTGAGATTAAAACCCGCCGAGTTGAGGCTTCGCACCCCTTCGTGGTCACTTTGGAGACCTGCAGAACATCTCTTCCCGAAGACTCGTTCATCCAACGGACAGCGAGGCTCTGGAACACATTGCCAAGGGAGGTGTTCCCCGAGGCATGTTACCTCCAGAAATTCAAGAAGAACACCAATTCCTACCTTATTTCCTTTGGTTCTCACGATGTTCTCTGAACATTACAGGATATCCCTTTCTGTGGGAACCAGAACATAAAAAAACGATATCGTTGAATTCGTTATGATAAAGCCCTAACCGAAGTTGGAGTCGTTTCCGGTGAAACCGGAAGTGAAAGAACAAAAATTTTTTTGTCAATTATTATTGAGCATAATTACTACCCACCAATTTTTAGAATCTGATCTTGAATGTATCAGATGTTACAACGACGACCGTTTTCTGTGCACTTCTCTGTATGTCATTGTATAGTTTTGAGCCTCGAACAACAACTATATTTTGAGGTAGGATCGAGGGTAGGATTGAAATTATATCCATAAAATCCAAAAGGTTGGACGACTCTGTGTGACATGATATAGGTATTGAATATTGATATTGGTATAATGTAGGGTAAATACATATTAAAATTGTAATATTGGACATGGTGAGAGATAATTATTTAGGTAGGCGTATGAAATAACTGAAAAACCTCAATTCTTAAAACCACCTACCTATCAATATTTTTTCTTCAATATTTCTCGGAGACTGAAATCATAGTTTTTAATAATCATTGCTAAATGAATTCGACAACGATATGAAATATGTTTCAGTTACAACTGGATCCAAAGATATGCTGTATCCGATACGGATGAGGCAAAAAATCAATATTAAAAGGAATGTCAGAGCTTGACTTGCATCATCGTTGTCGAAACTGACGTTATTGCTCTACAGTGTGAATAAAATCAAAAATATTCAAGAATAACACACACATCACACATCATGCAAATATAGTACCTAACTAAAAATCTATGGTGTGACTTGGTGTAATCCCACGAGAAAAAATTCAGATAGTAATCCCATGTAAAAACTTAATATTCCATCGGAACAGTTCTCGTTTACATATATTATGTCCGAAAACACTTCGTTTTTGCGATAAAGTGGCTGGATGCAATAACAAAAGTATCATCGCTTCGCTTTTGACAATAATGTAAACAGTTTTCATCTCCGAACCTATAATTGAAAAAAAAACAGAATGCTCAAAACGTTCCAAAAGTATCCCAATGTCTTTTTAATGAACTCGATCAAGTGTAGAAACCGATGAAAGTAATTTGTTGGCTGGACGCAGCAGTAGCCAGAGCCATGGACTGGTGTTCAAAAACAATCAAACCAATCAAACTTCAACTTTCTTCAACCTGTAGGACGGTGCTCCAGTGCTGCCAACTCAGCCATTTCATGGCTAGTTCTAGCCATTTTCAAACTCATCAAGCTACTGAAAATTGCAGCTTCTGACTTTCTATTTTTACAACCATTTCCCTATAGGTTCTAATCATTAAGTTAAATTCCGACTAGTCCAGTCTGTTGTATTTCTATGGATTTTGTACACCATCAAGAAGTGCCTAAATCTTTCGAACCATTCCCATCACGTGATATGTTGACATTCGGAATTCGACTGAAGTGCTCTTTGGTGATGTCTCTTTGATTATGTCAGAAGCTAAGGTAATGGACGTACGTCAACTCTTTATATATCAATTTCGTTTTTGCACTCAAACAGACAATACACTAGTACCATTCCTCTTAACTACCGCACAAGAAAAAATGCTGTGGCAGCGGTTTATAGTCCTGCTACACAGAAATCTCTAGGTAAAAAGAGCTTTCGCATTATAGGAGCGAAACTCTACAATAAATTATCAGACGACCTTAAATCTTCGCCAGCTCGCTTTTTCAAAAACATACTAAAAAAATTGATTTTTTCTAACGACAGAAACTATTTTGATCTTGTTATTGATCCATTTCAGATTAGTAACTAAATATAAATTAATTAATGTCTTATTTTTATTGGCACTGAATGCGAATCCAATTACGTAGTTTTTCATTTCCATTTTTACGCTTTTGCTGATACTAATATTATTCAACCTTATACCTATGAGTTCTTGATTTTTTTCGTTTATTTTGTGTTTTATAATGCACTTTCAAATTGAAAATAAGGTCGGAAGATAGTAAAATGTTTGCAGATACCGGAAGTCCTATAACTCAATCGGGTGCTCACCCATATGTCTATTTACTATAACACAATATGCCATACATAAACATGAGATTGATATGTACCATTTCTGTAATGATAAACATGCATTCATTCATTCATGTGTTCAAGCACGGCTCTAGGGTGAGCGCTTTTGACTGTCCAGTGAGAATAAGTTCCCTCCCGATGATGGCAGCATTCTTGAAAGGGTTTCATTTTCTTTTTCCCTTATCATAACGATAATTTCCACTCCTGTCAATGTCCGCATTTCAACCCCAACCCAACCAAGTTCACATCGACATAATTCGACAATACTCATTATGAAGCCAAGCAGGCCAAGCTTATTCGCGAGATGGGGCTCGGCGAGTCGGCGCCTAGTAGGTGACTGATCTCTGCCTAGTAGGACTCTAATCATAGGACTGCTACCACGTCTCTGGCTAACACCAGCCACCTCCACACTGTGTGGGGACTCATATCATGTGAATTCTGATATATAGTGGCATTCCTATCAGAAATTGTCAGGATAAATAGGATAAATATTCTCATTTTATTCAATTTCGTTGAAGAACTCAACGTTTATCATTAATCGATGTGGTTTTACTTCATTTTGATTTTGCTTCTTCAAAAAACATAGCAAATACGAATAGGCTAGTTCGTTTAGGATGAATAACCTCATTTTATTGAATTTTGTTGAATACCTTCAATAATAATAGTAAATTATTGTTATATGACTTTCGAATATAGAAATGGACATCAAGCACCAGAGAGCGCTTCAGATGGCGAGTCTAGAGTAAAGATTGTATTCTGTATATGGTCCAAATTAAATATTAAATAAAAAATAATCTACCTTCCCTTGATTTTTAATGTCGGGTTCGTAGTCCATGAGATCTCTTGTTCTTGCTTCCATTTTTAGCCCTAATTCAAGCAATTTTTGCTATTTATTCAAACAACAATCATCTAGCCACTTTTGAGATTGGGTATTGGCAACACTGCGGTGCTCTAATAAGTTGCTCACTGGCGTCACTGTCACTGCAGTCAGCTGTATCCATCTGCCGGTAAAAACTCAAAAGTGTTGTGACTTGTTTTTTGTTTTGTTATTGTTATGTTACTTGTTTTTTTTTAGTGTTTTTCACTTTTTCATCTCATTTTTATCATTCCTATTCGTAGTTCCTACTATCCAGATACTATAAAATCAGAATTGATAACATGTGTAGTCCAGTTCACCAACGATTTAATGTAATTTTAACTTAAATAACAATTACTACATAATATTTAATTCTGCTGCTAGTAGTAGTAGTGTTTTTAGTTCATGCCATGTTGATATTTTTTATTTTGTGTTTCTTTCATCAGTTTAATGGAGTATAATTTTTCAATATTCTCATAACTCAATAATCTGTGACTCAAGGTTCACTATTTTATTTGTTTTGATTATTGTCTTGTTCTAATGTGTTCATCTCGGTGTTCATCTAGCAAAACAAGTTCTTTCTATGCTATAAAATTTCAATTTTAGTTTATTTACCAGCTTTAGAGGTTAGGTGTAATGCTGACTCTGTTATTCCCGCAATACTTTTTGATTTTTGGGTAGTTTTTTGGTCATTAATTTGCAAACAAAATATAATATTAGTGTTGTTTCCAGGCGAAAGACTGCTATCGATGACATCGCTGTCAAGCCCATCACCCAATTCCCTGTTTCGCTGGCAGAGGAGGTGAGCCAATTGTTATTCAAGATCAAACAATATTTTTCGCATGTTAACACCTCTTCACTGAAATACAAGATAACACTAATCATTTGATAGATACCGAGATAGATATCTACCTTTGTTATAGGCAATTATATATCCAAAGTAATTGTAGAAACTCCACAAATGATGAGAATTACAATCCATTATATGAACATATCATTGTTCTTGATTTTATGGACAATAATGTTCTGTTGAGTCCTACCTATAATAGTTATGGACCATAGAATGTAAGTAAGAGCCCCAGTAACAGTGAGGGCTATTAACAGTCTATGGTCCATAAGAGTTATTTATGTATCAAGGGCCTAAATTAGGCTTTTATGGACCACAGAGTCACGCCAAGGTTCATAAAAGCCAGTTATGCTAGAAATACATACAACATTTCATGCATGACCAGTATACTTGAGTTTTCATTGTGAATACCTCTTCACCTCTCTCTTGATGGAATCAACGTTACCATTGTAACTCAGTAAATTTTTTGAAATCAGAGTAGACTTTCATATTTGCTGTCAATTAATGTCATCACAGATAACTTATTTTGAGTTCGTGCTCATATCATTTTGCATCTCAGGAATATCAAGGGAACTGTAATACTAGATAATGAAACATCACAACTAGAACATAAATCATATCTAGGACCAGTATATTTGATTTTTCACATTTACTATCAACCCTTCCAAGTTAATCTGTTACACCTTACACTGTATTTGATTGTAGATATTGTGCCTATTTTCCAAAAATGATGGTTTATCAAACCTTTCCACAGGCAATTCTAATCCTTTAGGTTCGAAAAGTTCGATATATATATGTCGGCGTCAATAATTGAAATCCGTCATTCCCTGAAATGCCTAGTCATTTCACATATTGTCGGCAAACTCTGTTTGCCGGAGGGCTGTGGAAGTAAAATATCCTTTTCCTAGGAGCGTGCGCAAAGTAGTACTTTTCCGCACTCATTTGCGTGCGCAAAGTAATACTTTTCCGCACTCAGTGCGGATATGGGTGTTATCCGCACGGCGTGTGGATAAGTAAAACTACCCAAAAATCTCACTGATATGGAACATTTATATTCATTTTAGTTGCTGTAGACTATTTTATGCACTATGAGAAGCCGTTATCCCTTTTACTTTTCAACCGTTCTTCCCGATATTTGTATTTCACCTCAATATAAATAATAGGAAAAATGATTCAACTTTCTATCATTATATTTTATTGATTTGTAATTGTTTGTTGTTTAGCTATTTCTATCAAGTTCAACTAAAAATTATTCAATAAATTGTAATTCAAGTTGAATTTTTTTTATTTCGTAGTTATCTGATATGAGGCTCATAGGGAAAATGTGATTTTCTATTTCTATATTTTATTGTTATATGTGATTGTAGTATAGTTACATTTTTCAATAAGTCATTTTTTTTTATTTTCCTTTTTATCTGATATGAAGCTCGTAGGAAAAACATTGTTCCTAACACGTGCGCAAAGTGTATTTTCCGCACGCAAAAACTTATTCGAACTCCGCGTCGTTCGCCTAACTGTATTTGCGTGCTGAAAAGTAACACTTTGCGCACTTGTTAGGAAAATAACTATTTTGCATATGTATAAGATGGGAGACTATTTTTCCTAAACAAAATATAACCAAACTCCGCCTAAATTAACCTTCTTCCTAGAAAGTATATTTTTCAGAAAATTACTTGAGAGACAAGAAGAGACTACTGCTTCTAAACAACCTAAGCTGACTCGGCCTAAATGAACCTTCCTTCTTCCTTCCGTCATTACAGGGAATGTCTGAAACTATTATAGGCAAACGGTGTACGAAATTCAGAGTTACGCTGTTTGCCGGCAATACGTGAAATGACTAGGCATTCCAGAGAATGACGGATTTCACTGTTTGACGCCGACATATATGACTTTAGGCAAGCCAAGGTTAGTTCATTTCATTGTACCAGTATTCCACCTGACGAAGCTACTGTGATAACGAACCATGTCGTGTGACTAAGAATTTTGTGGAAATCTCATCATCGTTTGTGAAGTTTTTACATTTGCTATGGATTTCCATCAAGTAACGGCCGAGTTCACTAAAAAAAAAATTTTCATCTCAAAATATGTTATTTTCATTATCAATAATAATAAACAATTTTTATGTCATTTTCCATCAAAGGAGTGTTAAAATTTTCAGGATGAGATGAGAGAGATGCATACTTATTTGAAATCAACCAACTTTGATGTTCCACAAACAAAACTTATTATAGGGTGTTTCTAAAATTGGAGCGATAATTGGAGTGGGTAATTGAAATACACTTGGAGAAAAATGAAAAAAACATATTTGTAAAAAAAATCAATTTGATAGATACTGGATTCGAGACTGGATTTTTGTTGATCATTATTGATTAGAGGTTATCAGTTGAACTCTAAGCACTGGAAGTATCAATGACATTTTTTATTGCTTCAAAAATATTTCTTCATGCAATTCATTGTTTAATTTTTTTAATACAACAACCCATTTTATTATGAACGCGCTTCAAATATAATTTTAACTTACAGATATCTCAGACAACATTGTGACGTCTCTGAGATGTACATACATGTTCCATCTCCATGTTTACTGCAAAATCAAATTGCTGCAGAGATCTACAAATGCCTCACTCATATTGATATTGTTGCAATATCATCCAATAACGTTCACAATAACATCAATGAGAAATCACACTACAATGTCAAAGAGATATAGGCCAGTGATTTCTACATTATTTTGAATTATTTGAGAAAATTCAAATTGTTAACACACTGATGATAAGTCTACTCAAGAATGCCTCATACATTCTACGTAAGGATGTATCACAAATTCTTGGAAATCTCTCATATATTGATCATTCTAGAACACGTGATTTTGACATGGTTTCTTGAGGGGCACACAAACTATCTGTTAGGTTACCTTTGATGAGCATTGCCCTGGCCGTCCCTCCCACATCCACAATATAATAACAGTTTCACCAAACGAAATTATGAAATTCTTTCTGGTTCCAACTCGGATTCCAATCCCACTAATTCTGGTTTCATATGACAAATCTTAACAAAATACAATGTTTGCCCCTCAGCAACTTGTCAAATGACGTAATTCTGGAATGATTAATTCGCGGTAGTCAGGGATGCGACGATTTAAATCAAATGATTTAAATCGTGCGATGGTATGAAAACTACGGGAAGACTGTCCTAACTCCTGGCTTAGATTGAAAGTTGGACATCAGATAATGACTTCAAAAACCGCCAATTACGTGTCATGTGTAGGGGGTATTTTGTTGGCATTCCTAAATATGATGAAAGATTCGAAATTTTTCTCCATTGAAGAAAGCAACAAAAATGTAGTCCTCTTGTGTTACTTTGTTTATCATGACACATGACAAATCCATTCAGATATGACTTTCTCTTGATAATAGTCAATGCATGGGCTGTATATTTTTTATTTATTTATTATACCCCTGTTGGGTATACAGGCTGACTAACTCAAGCTATAGCGCCTCTAATAACTATCAGATTTCGAAATACGAAGCAGCAAATCAAATTACTGAGTATGATCTGACGGGAACATCTCGTTCGACCCAAATTTCAATTCACCCCAATTTCGATTCGCCCAAATTTCGATCGCCCAAATTTCGATCGCCCAAATTTCGATCCACCCAAATTTCGATTCTCCCTTTCAATTCACCCAAATTTCGATTCGCCCGAATTTCGATTCACCCAATTCTCGATTCACCCAAATTTCGATTCGCTCACATTTAGATTGTTGAAACATATGCTTTCTAGGATGAGGGTCCATGTGGATCGAGTTATTTTAAATTACTTCAAATAAGTACTCTCCTCTGTTCTTTCAAGAAATTTTCCGAAAACTATACTTTCTAGGAAGGTTCATATAGCCCGAGTAAAGTTAGATTGTTTAGAAAAGCCAGTTTGATTTTTTGTAAAGCATACTTTCAAATCACATGTGGTGTTGAAATATCTGGCAAATGAAACACTGACATTTATTTCAGTGACATGTACTGCCACATTCAATGATACATCTCAAAAATTTTGGAAAGTCTATTTATTCAATTTCTTGACATCTGAGCATTTATCGTTTATTCTAATTTGTCATACATACTCGATCTGAAAAAAAAATGTTTTCATCTAGAACTTGAAAAAATGATGATCAGGACCTACTCATTGTTGGATAGATTGCATTACAGCCATTCTAGCATTGTATCTGTAGATGAGACAGGACAAGTGTAAATACAAGTAATTCAATTTAAATATAACCCTTTATGATATAATAGGAAATATCGGGGAGTTCACTCAATCGGGCTACAAGCAATAGTATATTATGTAACAAGTGTCATAAATGTCCCTTTAGTAACGAGTATATTAAGCACGAGCGGAGCAGAGCGGAGCGAGTGTTTAATAAACGAGTGTCTAGAAGAGTTTATGAACGCGTTACATAGGTACTATGATTTTTCTACGAACTCCGAAAATTACAGTAACATACCTGCAATACCTGCTAACCTACAAAATAATTCGAAAGGAATGGGAATTGAGAACATAATACATGCAACCAGCGAGACACGTATAAGTGATATTGGTTGTAGATGTGTCCAGTCCATTGCTTACTAACCTTTGTTTCACGTTTATTGTCATACTTAGCGCAGAATAGATAAATTGTTCTCAAAGATGGATGCTTCATTTTTACTCTTCTTGGAGATATGCAAGTAGCAGAACATTCTCTTCGATTTCACTTTCGTCTACATCTCGCATATATTTTCAATGGAGAATTCTAATACAAACGAATATTGTTTGAATAATTCTGATACAAAATTTAAAAATAACAGTTGACAGTTAATACAATTGACAGGCCAGACATGTCTCAAATTACTGAAGCTGTGTTTAATGAACTGTGCTGCCATGGTAATGTGTTTGAGAAATCGTGTTGCCATGGTAACGTGTTT